TTAACTTTAAGAAAAGCATACAAACATCAAAAATATCAGTAGTGACAAGCTTCAAAGTAGGCCTGGGCGATAAAACGGTACCGATATTTATCGACGGTACACCTTCATCGATAACAATAGAAAAAATGTTCGATATAGTGCACGATATAGGCACGTGTTATGAGTGACGCAGACAGCACACACAAACACATGCTGTAATGCCTGCCTGTGATGAAGAGATTGTGAATAAAAAAAAAAAGAATATTAGTTGAATTTAAAATAAACATTTGCATCTAAATGCAAAAATGGTACAATCGAATGTTAGGTGTGCGTCAGGGAGCGTCATCAGTGGAGCACGAGATGCGGTGATGAAGTTGTAAGTCAAGTGACGTTGTTGCATTTTAATGTTTTGTTAGTCTAGGCCACGAGACGCGCCACTGCTGAGTTATTCATTCAAAATATCAGAGAAATATAGCAGCTCAATGTGTAGAAGATCTTGATTAGGTTAAAGGGATAATTCACCCAAAAAATTAAAATTCTGTCATTATTTATTCACCCTCATGTCATTCTAAACCCGTAAGACCTCCGTTCATCTTCGGAACACAAATTAAGATATTTTTGATGGAATCAGAGAGCTCTCTGACCCTCCCATAGACAGCAAGGGCCCTTACATGATCAAGGTCCAGAAATGTAGCAAGGACATCGGTAAAATAATCCATGTGACATCAGGGGTTCAACCGTAATTTTACGAAGCTACGAGAATACTTTTTGAGTGCAAAAGAAAAAACAACAACTTTATTCCTTTTACAGCTGCAGACTCAGGAAGATCCTGAAACACACCAGCAAACATAATAAAAGGAAACATTTAATTTATAATTTGTCTTAAATCTCATTTTGTAAAAAAAAAATTATAATAAAAAATCGTGAATTGAATCGAATCGTGAAATCAAAATCGTGAATCAAATCGAATCGTGAGTTGAGTGAATCGTTACATCCCTAGTTATTAATAAAAATGTTGTTCAATTAGCATGTTTTTGTGTTTTGCTTTGGTACTGAAATTGGTACCGAGAACCATGGATTTTCACTGGTATTGGTACCGAATACTGAAATTTTGGTACCGTGACAACACTACACTGAGCTATAGAGACAAAAAAAAAACTGTGCTGGTATCTGATCGGTATTGTCCGATACTCAGAACTTTTGTTATCGGATCGGGATCGGTTCTGAAAAAATGGTATCGTGCCACCCCTACACTATCGGCCGATAATCACGTTGGGATGATTGATCGGCAGTCTCCAAAAAGGCCGATCTCAAAAAAACGTTCTCAAGCTGATGACGCTGCTGTGAGAGGTTTGGCACGACATACAGTGGCACCATCTCAGTCTCTGTCCAGCGCGGGTAAAATAATTACCGGTATAATGCTGAAGGTGAGGTACTCACCTTCATATTTTTTCGTTAAATAACTTATAAAGTAATTAGAAAACCTTGTGTGAGACAATTTCACAAACAGCGTGAGTGAATCAACGCGCGCGCTCTCTTTCTCTCTTAAAATACGCAAATGTCTTCAAATCACCACACATCGCTATAAGCGGCCGCGCTGCACGCTGTACAGTTGACACAGGAATTGTCACTTGCACAATCGAGGCAGTGTCACATCGTCACTAAAGTTTATAAATTGCATTTCTTTTTAATTCTTGCCAGTGTTTAACCATTCTGCGCTCGCGCGCTCTTCTGGAGACTGTGTGCTCATGTACACTCACAACGCACACACATAATGCCAAGTTCACATTACTCCGTTTGCAGTGCTTATTTTTTCCGCGCTCATGTTAACGGATTAAAGCGTTCACTGCACACGGTTGCGGTCCGGCAGTGCGTCTGCAGCAGTGCAGAGATCGTTTCCGCACCGAGTCTATTTTTGCTGCGCTGCACGCGCTGAATTAAAGTAACAGCGCATTGTTTGCAGGAAATATGAACGTGGATTGACACGAAAATTTAGTAATTACACCATAAATGCATATTATTAAAGTCTACTGTGTTTCAAATGTCAACACATATGGCTTTTTGGCTAGGTTTAAAGGGAAAG